AATGGCGGTTCCTAAAGCCATTGTTCTACCTCTCTTGCTCATCCTCTGTGGTGCTGCTCTTGGAGCTCCTGCTTATGAAGGTAATTCTGGTTTTGCTTCATAAAGTCTTTTACTTTGGAACTCTACTTATCAATCTGAAGCAAGATTTGATCTTGTTAGGTAGAAAGATTCGATCTTTACCCGTAGATCTGAGATTTTATCTTCCTCTCTGTTTATTCTCTTCAGGTTACCTTCGTAATGGAAACTTCGAGGAGTCACCAAAGAAATCCGACATGAAGAAAACAGTCCTACTCGGCAAAACCGCCTTGCCCGAATGGGAAACCACCGGTTTAGTCGAGTACATCGCCGGTGGTCCGCAACCAGGAGGAATGTATTTTCCGGTGGCTCATGGGGTTCACGCAGTGAGGCTAGGAAACGAAGCAACCATCTCTCAGAAACTAACGGTCAAGCCAGGTTCTCTCTACGCACTCACGTTCGGTGCATCGAGAACTTGTGCACAAGAAGAGGTGCTTCGTGTCTCTGTGCCTCCTCAGTCCGGTGACTTGCCGCTTCAGACACTGTACAACAGTTTCGGTGGTGACGTGTACGCTTGGGCTTTCGTTGCCACGACTTCTGAAGTTACAGTGACTTTTCATAACCCAGGAGTTCAAGAAGATCCGGCTTGTGGTCCTTTGTTGGACGCTGTCGCCATTAAAGAGCTTGTTCATCCAAGGTACACCAAAGGTAATTGAGATTTTGGTCTGGTTTAATTTCCGGTTTATAGAGACTGGAATCAATTTTGAACCATTGGATTAGACTCGGTTCGGTGTTTTAGATAGGAAACTTATTTAACTACAACATTGGTTATATATGAAATTTGAAATTAATATTATGTTTTTATTAGTGAATTTTGGTTTATTTAGTTCCACTATACTCAAATCGGTCTTGGTTAACAAAACCAATTGAATTATTCCGGCCAAATTTGGTTTATAATTTAGTTGTGTGATATATCTATTGAAGGATTTGTTTCATTATTGGATTGTTCCGACCAATGCAGGGAACTTGGTGAAGAACGGAGGATTCGAAGAAGGTCCTCACCGTCTAGTGAATTCGACACAAGGAGTGCTTCTTCCACCTAAACAAGAAGATCTCACATCTCCTTTACCCGGTTGGATCATAGAATCACTCAAGGCTGTGAAATTCATTGACTCCAAGTACTTCAATGTCCCCTTTGGACAAGCCGCGATTGAGCTTGTTGCAGGCAAAGAAAGTGCCATTGCGCAAGTCATTAGAACTTCACCAGGTCAAACTTACAGTCTCTCCTTCGTCGTTGGAGATGCGAAAAATGACTGCCATGGATCTATGATGGTTGAAGCTTTTGCAGCTAGAGATACACTCAAAGTGCCACACACTTCAGTTGGTGGAGGTCATTTTAAGACCGCGAGTTTCAAGTTCAAGGCGGTCGAGCCAAGAACCAGGATTACTTTCTTCAGTGGTTTTTACCATTCCAAGAAAGCTGATATTGGATCTCTCTGTGGTCCTATCATCGATGAGATTGTGGTTTCTCATGTCGCTTAGATCGATTTAAGTCTTTATCACGAGTGCATCTTGTGTTCTTACTCTCGGCTTTAGATTCCCCTGCACTTGGTTCTGGACTTGGTTTTTGCTTTTGTATGTCTTGCTCTTTTGGGATTAAGTTAGAGCCTTCAAGTTAATTAATGAGAGATATATATATATTGTGATATGAGTTAAATGAAGAGTAATAAACAAGAACTAAGCTAGATCAAAAACCTATTTGCAGTATACATTTC